TGTAGCTTTGCGCCTTTCCTGGAACTCACTTGGTAGCCCAGGCTGGCCTCAAACTCACAGAGATCCACCTGGTTCTGCCTCCCGAGTGCTGGGATTAAAGGAATGCGCCACCATCGCCCAGCTTTTTTCTGAAATTCTTAACAAGGAAAACTATAACTATAACTAATTAATCTTCAACTCCCTCAGAGACCCAAGAAGGAAATAATATTACCTAACAAAAATAAAAACAGGAAGTGCATGCAAGCAGCTTCCAAAAAAAATAATAATAATTGTGAGTTGACAGAAACAGTCAGCTGCCTGGACAGTCACCTGAGGTTTCTCCGCAGTGTTGGGGCATCATCTTCAGCCTATAGGCTTAGTGTATCTGACAGACTCATTTGTGAAGTAGGATGTACACAAGGTCAATAGTTTTTACATTGGGTGAGAGCAGTCCATGTACCAGAAACACCTGAATTCCACTAGTGTCATGTCATGATTCAGGATTTTAAATTCTGGAAATTGTTGATGTTTTTTTAATTCAGCTGTCCATTCTTCTTGGCTGTGTGTGTGTGTGTGTGTGTGTGTGTGTGTGTCTTCATCTCAGCATCCCATTCTTCTCCACATCCTTCTATTAAATGCCAGTCTACTATTGAGAGGCATGAGCTTAGTTACTCTTCAAGAATAACTGTTTCAGCTGCTGTTCCATTGCACATCAGAAGCCATCGGTCCACTGCCTGTTCAGCTGCCTTTGAAGAAAAGGGCACTGTACCTTTTCCGGATTGCGAAGGCCACTTCAGGAATGGGGCCATATCGTCCTGGCCTCAGAAGATGCCTTTTGATAAAGCCATAACCACACTTGTTTTGGCAATAATCAGTAGTCCTTTGTTTCGTGTCCTGTCTGTCCTGTTTGTCAGCAGTTGATTCGAGGATACTTTGTTGTCCAGTGGCTAACTTTTGCCACAATGAAAGTTAACTCCATATGCAGTTTCTTCAATGCCCATATTTTCTCTGAAGTAGATTGGTACTGCCAGGAACCGACATGTCTCCTAGACATAACAAAAAAGAAAAATTTTCTAAGTTATTAAAACATTTTAAATGCCATATTCTATAGATCTCTGAAGGGTTTGAAGATGACCTATCTAAAATATCTCTGCTCAATCTTGAAAACATAATATGACTACAAGTTCTATTGTAATGTCTAACTACTAACTTTCATTTCTTTTTATTCTAATAGTTGGTAATAATAACATTCAAGGATCAGCAAATTGCATTACATTGTTAAATGAACTGTATAAGTATAATATCTTGAACAAGATTAGAAATATATGTATGTCATTTTCTAACAATATCAATCTCAATATATATAATTTGTATATAATATAAAACAATCCAATCCAATGTAAAGTATTTAAAACTAGTAATTGTCTTTTTCCTTTTTTTTTTAAACAAGAACCTTAAATCTAATCTCCTTTGCTTACCCCTTTTCCTAACCCTTAAGAACAACTTGTAACCTAAACAATGAAAATTATCCCAGACCCAAAACCCATAAAAAGACCAAAAAAACCACCCGCCCCATACCACCTCTTTGGGAATGTGGGTGTCATATTCTTAAAATTGCTTCCTGCTGGATATGAGAAAAGGTATCTTTATCCTGAAAAGAAAAATTTTGGGTTAATTGTCAAATTCTAGGAAATGTAGCTATATCCTTTTTGTTATCCAGTTTGAGCATAATGCCAAAGTTCAGGGTTTATCTCAAGTCCTTATTCAAGTAGTCTTTGAAACTGGATCATCTCAGCTAGCCCTCTCAAAATTGCTCTGAGCAGTCCAAATCTGATCTGTAGATGATGTTTGTCAGCTTAGTGGTATTATTATTGTCCATGTGGAATTGTTGTTGTGGGGCCCCATCTTCTTCCTGGAGACTTCAGTTGATGTTAGGCCTGGCCGTTATTTCCTGCAGAAAACTGATAAGAGACTTTAATACAAATACATGTATAGGCAGTTAATTAAAGCCTTTTATCTAGAATTAGTTAGTACTCTAGGTGACCACTAATATCTTAACAAAGTTTAAAATGTGTGTGTATCTTGTAAATTTTGATATAAAATTCATACTTTAAGAAAAGTTGGAGCCGAGTGGTGGTGGTGGTGGTGGTGGTGGTGGTGGTGGTGGTGGTGGTGGTGCACGCCTTTAATCCCAGCACTCGGGAGGCAGAGCCAGGCGG